TGACTGCCACGCCAGAAAGTAGCGCACAGCTGCGTGGTTGCGAGCAGCGTCATGATTGCCCTCCACACCCATGGGCGAAATGCAGAAAATGTCGCATAGGGCACCGGTGGCGTGAAGCGCATCCAAAATATGCTGCACGCAAGGCCAGATGGCCGTCCAAGACGGATCGCTGAGCTGTATCATGATTGCAACTGAGGCCGATGCTCTTGGCGCTCCAAGCAATAACTTATCCATCAAGAGCTTCACGCGTGGCGCGGCTGCTTGGTAGCTGAACAAGGCTAGAGCAGTTGCACGGCCTGCACGACCCACCTCCTTGGTACCGCGGCACCACGGACAAATGGCCTAAACATTGATATATCAGCGTAGCCCAACGCAATGACATCAACAAAGCAATCAAAAGCAAGCCAAGTTTCTCCCATCTCAGCCAACGCCTGTGGGTGGAAAATGATTCTGCGTAGAGCTTTCACAAAAGAAGCTGTTTCAAAGTCTGGCAACAAATAACCATCGACTTGATCGGCAATCACCTGCTCATGCGACCCACCTGCTGGTGTCATCAATACAGGAATCCCAAGGACTTTCGCCTCCAGCGTGTTGAGCGGACTGACTTCAAGCCATGACAAACTGATGTGGAGGTCAGCAGCCGCCACGTAACGTAAGTTTTTGGGGCCGAACTTGATCAATCGAACATTCTGCGACACGCCAGCGGCTTCGGCAGCTTTGACGACCATCTTCGGAGTAACCCTGTCTGCTTTCGGGTTCTTGCCAGCCAGCAAGATCAACCAGTTGTTGGAGAATCTCTCCTTCAACAGTTTCAGTACTCCTGGCTCCAAAAGTTTAAGTTGGTTCTTCCGCTCGCAAATTGAGCCCAGTGCTGACATAATGAACGTATCAGCAGGGAAGCCAAATTCTGATCGAACCTCTGACCGAATGGTGCGCAGGCCCCGCAGGTCACCAGTAGTGTCAGTAGTGGTCAAGCCAGCCCCTGAAGTCACGCGACTCACACGCACAAAGTTGTACAAGGTGTGCAAATGCCCTCTGTCAAATGAAGACCACAAAGCTCTGGTGGCGTCTGCTGGAAAGATCACGGCATCTGCGTTGGAGACCGTGTCATTGCAGCTGGCGACGTCCAGCTCTGAGAATTGATTGCCGTACCAGAACGTGTTGGGCAAAAGCCCAGGAGCATTGGCCGTGATCTCGTGCTCATGGATGAACCAAACGAACATCGGATATGAAGAGCGAGTTCTGGGCAAACGATGAATGGCGCGAGTCCAAAGAATTGTGTTGCAAATTACCAACACCGGCACGCGATCCCCAAAAATGTCTAGGACGACGTCCATCAATGTAAAGTCGAATGTCTCAGAGACCCAAAATGCGGCCAGCTTTGGAACGACACTGGCCGTGATGTTCCAGTCTGCATACTCTGCTTCCAGCGGGCCATGATCAGGGCCAACAGCATGGACATGTAAGCCATTCAACACCAACTGAGTGGACAAGTCAAGCAACGCCCGAGGAGCGCCATCCGCCTGGAAGGAATGACTCAGCACAGCAACAAACTTGTGGTCTACAACTTTGGTAGCCGTCTGAGAGGAGAGCGTCTTCAAAATAGGCATCGCTTCAGGTATGTGGCGCGTGGTCTTATAGAACACAAACTCAATCGGGTGAGCAGTCATGCCAAAATAGCGGCCGGCTGAAAAGAAGACATCGTTGGGCAGCTGGGGGCACTGAGACGAAGGCCCCGAAGGCGGCCTGTGTTTCGGGTGTTTCGGTAACCTGAACCATTCTGTACCCGAGTGGCTTGCTTGCAAGGCTTCAGCGCTGAAACCAGACTTGCGCAAAAGCTGGGCAAAGTCACCCTCACGAAACATGGCAGCGCGCTTGTCCGCCGCGCAGTCGAATATGCCAGCAGCCATGCCAATGTGCAAGGCAACTTCGTCGAATGCCATCACCATGCTCATTACATGGACCAAAGATCGCCCAACGCCATCTGGGCAGTTCATACTTGTGCCTACCAATCTAACCTTCTGGGTAAGCAGCGATACAAGAGCCGATGACCAATGTGCCATGAAATACTTCGGCAGGAAGGGACCCATGACGGTGGGATTCAGAACGATAAACGTTTTGTGCCTTGGCGTTTTCTTTCTCAAGCCAATTCCCCAAGATCCAAAGTCAAAGCAGGTGTTTGGGCGAGATATCACAAGCAAGTTCCACATCTTTGGGAAGGTCACTGTGGTTTCCCCATTCACCACAATCACATAGTCCAATGGTGCACCAGCTTGTGCATCAGGAATCACACAGACCTGCATGAAATGGAGCATGTTCGCACGATACTCTGCGTCCTTCTCATAAAATGCCACCACTACCAAGATCCGCTCGCCAGCCGTGACAAGTGGAGCATCTTCTTGCTTGGCTACCCTCCGTGACAAAGCAGCATAGAATCTTGGCAAGCGACCAGGCCCAGGATGGAAAAGTGTCTCCCAGACATGTTCCGGGTAGGTTTGACTCGTTTGACTGCACTCACTTCGTGCCGTGTGCGACCTGTTCATGGCGCTGACAGTGCTGCCTCCATGGAGAAGCTCATAGGGAACGCCACTTGACACTCTTGACACCACCGCGCGCTTTAGGATCCTCCAAGCCTTTCTACGGTCTGACACATTTGCAGCACGTCTGCTCACATGTTCCGCGAAATCTTTGTGCACGGCCCATGGCAAGCCGAAGTCCAACGTGTCATGATCACAGGTTGCGCGACTGGCAACAAATTGGGCACCATGTCGCAGTGGTGATGTGTAAGCATCTGCCCAGAATTCACACCCGGTGTGCCAAAAATACTTGGGTATCAACGGACCTTGTTGCTGACAACTAGTGACAACAATAGGCTGGAAGCCATGCTGGTGACTGCTCTCAAACAGAGCTTGGCTGAAATCTTCTCGAAACTCCAGTGTGTACAAATGGTAGCAAGATGTGAATGCAGCCGAAATCAAATCTTTATCTGCAGCTTGTTCTGCAGCTTGTGGTTCCACGATGAATACATGATGAAATCTCTGCCCGGCTGCCTGGTTCTCACGTTTCAAGCGCTGATTCTGGCACACGTCTGCCAAAAGCTGGCAGTACAGTTTCAGATTTTGTCGGCAATGAGACGAGATGCCTGTCACATAGATTATTGTCGTGGAATTGCGCGTTGCAGACTGCATTATATCAAGGGTGCCAGCAGCCATGGACACGTCACCGAATGAGGAGTGCAGTTGCAGTAACATCATGCTCCAGGCGGCCATGCCCACAGCCACAATATAGCACGCACAAGGAGACCAGCGTCTGACGCACAAACATGTCCACGATCCCATCTGCAAACCTTCAGCAAATGCCCCCATCTCGGGCACTTGAGCCCCTGTCATAATCCATTGCGAAGAAAACAGCCGTCAATACGAACCCACTAGTTTTTCAAGGCTGCAGCCCCGCGAGTTGGCGCAAACAGTTAGGGTGAGCCTTCTGACAGACTGACTGCTCTGACATCTTGTGCTGCTTGGTTCTAGTTTCTTCGTATGCCTTCGGACTACCATCAAAAGCAATGGCTTGCCATGGCTAACATCATATCGACCCAGGATGTCGGTCATGTGGTGGTGGATATGGTGTGAAACCTGGGAACCGGCAGCTTGGCAAGAATCTCGGTCTCAAAAGCAAACACGTTTCCTGGTTTCCAACTGGCAGGGCCCATCCACTAGAGCTGACCATAGCCGTTCCGGCACACGTATGGAACGTGCGCACCAAGACTTCCAACTCATGAAGCGCAACACACACACACACACTCAACAGAAACACTCAACATACACGCACATCACAAACAAGAAGAAAGAAAGCCACAGCTCGAGACCTTCTCGAACCCGTTTTAGGATTCTTAGGCAACCCACAAGACCGCAGTGTCTTGGTTCTTTGCCTTAGGGCTTAGGGTTCTTAAACGCAAAAGCCGTGAAGCCAGAAAGCCTGGAACCCTATGGGCACAATGAGGTTCCTGCGAAAAAAAAAGGAAAACCTATTCGGTTTTGGGCTCTAAGGCCCTCAACGCCCGAAAGCCCAACACACCCTAAAATCAAAAAACCCGGACCCCTAAACCCTAAACCCTAACCCCCTATGGGTGTTGGGGTTTGGGGCCTCAGGCTCCTCTAAAGGCCCCTCAATCCGGGCTTTTGGCCCTGGCCTGGATGAAGTTTCGAGGAATCCTGGTTCTGGCTCAACCAATTGAGGGTTTACAGGGTTTGGTGCCCTGTAGGGTTGATTTTGTGTAGCAATATGGGCATTTCCCACAATGGTTTTCTTTGCTCGGGGTCTTGATTTTTTCTGGCAAGCGATGTCTCCATCCCATCTAGTAAGTGATGTGTGCCGAATGCTTGCATAACAACTGACTGCCTGGGAAGTACAAAGCGTAGGTTGCATGGCAGTCCGGTAAACCTGGACAGCTTACAAGAAGTATATTCATGCGCCATGACAGTCCCATGTTGTACGCATGGAGGTCACGCGCGCTCGTGCAGCAACTACGTACATTGTTCGCGCTTACAGATAAAACTCACATTTTTTCGTAGACTGCGGGGAGCTGTTTTTCGTTCAGCGAACCTGCAGCGCTAAAAAGAAGTATGCATGTGTGCTGCGAGCTTTTGTCGTTTGCACGCTGTTCATGTGGGCTCCTGCAGGAATTAACTGCCTTTTCCGTGTTCCAAATACTGCAAGCCTGCAACAAAAACGCATTTCCCCAGCAGACGCTTACGCGAAAAAACGCATTTCCTCCGCTGATTACAAGTGTACGGAGAAAATCGCGCATTTTTCCCGCAGATTGTCCAAAGCCCCATTGAAGCGTTGAGTAAGCGCCTTGAAGCCGTGTCAGCAGAGCGCGGGGCACCACATGTGAAATCAGCCACGGTGGAGGTGTAGGTTGGGGGGGCTCTCTTTTCTACTTTTCAACGCTTTGTCACTGTGATGAAACACGGCTGGTCAAAGCTATCATGGTTGGCACAATCCGTTCCAAGCCCAAGGCCAGCGCGCAGGAGGGGTCATGACACCCGTTGTAGTACTCGCCCATGAGGCTCAGAAGTTTGGGCGCCATGGGCAAGATCTTGTCCTCCCAGGCGGAGAGTCCATTGCGCATCCAGTAGAAGGAGCCCGCCACAATACGCCAGGACTTCTTTTCCAGGCGTTCCTGCCCCAGCTTAGACTGCAGCACGCTCCAAGTGATCTCGATCTCCCGCTCCGCATCCGAGTCAAAGCCAAAAGGCGCCAGATCAAAGGCCACAAACTCCTCGAGGTTGGCCTGGCCGTATTGCCAGGTCAAGTTGTGGGGGCCCAGCAAGCCCAGGTTCTGGTCTTTCTGGAAGGCCTTCAGAGCACGTTTCACCACTCTCACTGTCCCACACAGGGAGCCCACCATTAGCTGTCTCCAGTCATCTCTTTTCTTGGAGTGCAGCTTCAGCAAGATGTCAAAGTCCAGCGCTAGCTCCCGATTCAGTTGCAACTGCTGCATGAAAATACCCATATCAGCCCCCTTGTTCGCAACTTGTGCAGCGATGACATGCTGCAAAACTGGCGATGTCAAATTACCAACCACTGCGTCCAGCGTTGAGACTGGCTGAGTTGTTGCGAGGAATACGTCCACCGTGCGCGGCTTTGCTTGTGCACTCAATACATTTGCCACGCAGTGCTGGATGGTGCGCCATTGCAACGGGTCGTGCAGCTGGATGAAAAGACCCACCCGAAAGCCCCCGCCCGGCCCGCCCTCTCTGCCTGACTCTCCCTGGAACTTCACCCTGTTGATGAGATGTTTCACCCGGACCACCGCCGCGCGGCCCGCGAAACGCGTCAGGGCCGTCTGCAGGCCCGCCATGCCGATAGACAGCCGCGTCTGCGAAGACTGCAGGATCTTCACCAGCATCGATCGGATCTGGTCACCCCGACTGTCCCGACTCAGCTCGGAGGCATCGTAGGTGTAGCCATCCACCCCGTCCTCCAAGAGCTCCGACTTCGCAGCCAGGACCGGGATACCAAAATACATGGCGTCCAGAACGCTCGAATCCATGTCGCTGAACGAGAGGCTGACCTCAGATGGACATGCGAATCATGCGACCGGCCTGCAGCTCTGTGAGGCTCTGTGGCTCTGTGTGGAAATGTTCTTCAAGACTAAGACGCAAACGTGCAAGTCAGAAGCTGGCACCAGTTGTGGCCACATGTCAAGCGAATGAAATTCTACTTGCTGTGAAAGGTTTTGCCCCGCGTCTCCGCAATCTGCATCTCTGAATACGAAGATGAGCCATCTAGACCCAAACGCCTGTTGCATGGCTGATATAAGCTTGGATGAAATCAATCTTGTTGAAGCCTCGGTACAAGCATCATCAAGTACGGTCAATACAAAAGCTTCAAGATCTGTATTGTGAGCCCATCGAGTCTCAAGCCGAAAACTCTGGATCCGCTGTATGGGGTCGTTTCTTTCGAGCGTCGAAGTCGCCTTGGCCACGTCACCATGGACACGCAGTTCACAAGATGCAAAGATGTAACGCTACGGAATCAACTGAGATCAACGCTTGCACAATTGGGCGAAATGTGGTAAAATGGCTCCCGCCGAGTGAAGTCTGCGACCATGCGCTCCTGTCCCTTTGGGTTGCAAAGACCACGTGGTCCACCTTCTGCAAGGCTTTCTGAATGAGCCGCGGTGATGGCTGGACTTGGCAGGGCGTGGCCAGTCTATAAAAGAACCACACCAATCGCGCAGGAACAGGTCGCGTGGCTGCCAGCTGTGCAAGTTGCGCTGCCCAACACAAAGAAAAACAGAAGATGAAATCTGGATGCCATTGCCAGGCGCGTAGTTTCCTGATTCGGAAAAGGTTCATCGACGAATTCGACATCAATTGGGAAACAATATCGCTTGCCCTGGCTTGCATGCCGCTTGCAATGAATGAATCGAGCATTTTGCCAGAACTCCCACCTTCAACAATGACAGTATGCCCTGAGCCAACCAATACGGTTCCAATGTTCAAAATGAATGTAGCATCACCTCGAGCTGTGAAATCGCGAATTAGGAAAAGGAATGTGCTCGCAGAGCTGTTATATGCGGTCTTTCCAGTATCCTGCCCAGTATCCGGCAAGAATTCTGCGGGATTCATGTTCCTTGGATGCAGGCGCTGGTCACGTGGGGACAATCGGCTGTCAATACCACTGACATGGCTCTGGCAAACAGTTCAAGCCGACTAAACCAGGGCTCACAGGGTAAACGACCAAAGCAGCAGGGAGGCAGCAGGATAATAATTATAAGCAACACTTGCATCGTCAGTTGACGCGCACTGCAACAAAGCATGTTATCCGCCGACCCTGCAGGCGCACCGAGACGCGAAGCATCGCAAGTGCTGGCCGCTGCGCTTGCCGCAGCCCTAGCCTGCGGCGTGGCCACTCGCTTCCCCCCGCCCTTGCTTCCCCCCCCCCCCCCCGCCATGGCCAATACTCCAAAACGCAAGCGCGCCGCTCCACACAGCAGCACCGGAAAGTTCGCTATTGCGGCTGGGGCCCGGCGGTTCTTGATCCTTTTACAAGCTTAGACGGGCTTCCTTCGACGGGTTCCTGGCGCGCTCTCCAAATGTTTCCCAAAATGTCTGCTTTCTTCGGCGCAGCTCCTGGGTTCCTGCGACTCTCCCCCTGTCTCCCTTTGTCTCCGTTCACCTCCGTCTTTGCATGGCTCTGCCTGTCCCTTCCACGTGTTTTGAGAGTTAGGAAATAAGGTCTGATTGCAATGTGTTATTGCAATGTGTTTCCACGTGTTTCCACAGTGTGTCAAGGCACCTTGTTGTGACGCCCGTGGAGTTCATGCAAACCCATCCAGGTGCTGAGAAGCGCCTCCAACTCTGCCAGGCCTGCCACGCACTGCAAAGAGCAAGCGCAACGATCGCCAGGCATGCTGTACGTCGTTGGAGCATGTTGGAGCACGAGGCTCACGAGACTCATCCAGACTCATCCAGACTCATCCAGACTCCATGTCACGCCACGGCAGACACAGGCTTCCTTGAGCCGCGCAGTGTGCTGCCAAATACCGTCAGAAGCCGAACAGAAAACCTAACCCCGTCTCTATGTTGAAGAAGACCTGTTGGCGAGTATGACGCCTACCAGCGTGAACACAAGAAAAACAGGTTTGTTTTTTTTTTCACCCCTTCTTTAACTTGCCTGCAAGCTACGTCAACCCATTCAGTTCCTTCAGCTCGGTGAGCTCAGAACCAAGCTCTGAAGGCTTTTCGGGTTGTTGCAGTGTTGAGTTGATATCGAAGGAAGGCTTCGCAAAGGCCTATGCTGCCTATGCTGCTGTGCTTGTGGCTTTCTGATCCGCTTTGAAGGGTAGTCTTGCCTTGGGCTCTCCGCGGGGGTAGGCTTGCCTCCGTCAAGGTTTGGTGTTCCCATGGGCACACCACTGGCGGCGCTGAAGAACCTGCAAAACCGGAAGGACCATCATGTAATCCACGTGCCAAAGGGGAGGCAAGCCAAACTCGAAAATGGGTGGCCCAAGGGATAAGCCGACGAAATCTAACACGAAAGGATGCACAGGATCGCAGGGTTCTCGGTGCAAGCTTTCTCTGCCCAAGCTTTTCTGTGCATGTGTTGTCTGCGTTTTCGGTTCTTTGCTCGAGCATTGGGGATGAAATGGGAGGAACTGTCAGCTCTGGTTACTAGGAGCACTTGAGAGCAGAAGAGTCTTTTCAGATCAGCAGGGCTTAAGGGCTTCGGCATGAGATTCGCAATGCTCGGGCTCCAGGAGCTTCAATCAAAACCCCAACAGGACTCGGAAACAAGTTTGAGGCAAGGGCCTCTGATAGCCTCGGGGGCAGTTTCTTGCCCCGAAGCCCCTCAAGCGGCAGAGGGTCTGGGAGTCTGGGAAGCTTGTGCAATGGGCCTGAAGATATACCGACCTTCTGAGTGTATGGAGTACTAGAGTACCACCAGAAACCATATGGACTCGTGGTCTCCTTCTTTCTGCTTCCCGTGTGCAAGCATTCCAAGGTCTGGTGTGCTCCAGGTTCGTCTCCGAAGTTCCAGGATTTCGGTTGTTTCGCTTCGCTGCTTGGGATGTTGTCCGATCACTTTGTCTCGGGTGTCTAGTGATACGTCTAAGGCCTCCAGGCTTCTGAGCCCTGACAGAAGTGCCCCTCAACTTGCTGCACGGTGGGGGCGCGCCAGCTGGCTTAAGGATTCCAACTTCCGAAACAACATTTTCGGAATAAGAGGGCGGACTCAAAGTGCCATTTCATGACACTGACAGCTGCTCAAGATGCCGCAGACGTCGAGGGCGAAGAAGGCCTGCCAGCAAGAGGGGCACGGGGCTTCCAGGGGCTGAACTAAATAAACTAACTATAGGCCTTGGTTTTGAGGTCTAAGGGTCCATAGTTACATTTCCTCACGAGTCGGTATCTGAAGCCACCGTAGCAACTGCACAGTCGCTGGTGGAGTGAAACGACCTCATGTCAAACACAGCTATGTCACTGTGTCAACTCATTCAGAGATTTCGTAACTTTGTCCCAATTGACAATGATGGTGGTGAGGCCGCCGAAGAGCAAGGAAAGTGCAGCCAGAGCCCTTAACACACCCCAGGCCAAAGTGAGTTCTCTCCACTCGGTCCTGTGTGCTGTCAGGAATTCTGCATACTTCTGTGCGTCTCGGGAAAGAAACTCCTGCCACCGCTTTTCGTTCTCCAACTTGAAGTCATGGTACCGCTTTTCGTTCTCCTTTACGTTCTCCAGCTTGAAATCATGCCATTGAGCAAGCATTTCCTTGTGCCCAGCATGGATCTTCTCGATCTTCTTGTCAAGGTCATCGATCTCTTTTCGATCTTCTGCGCACTGAGATGCCAAAATGCTTTCGATCCGCGTTGCCATGGGCGCTTCAGATGCAGCATATTCTTCAACATGGTTCTTATCTGCAAACAACTTGAATGACAAGACGGCAGTGGCATGAATCATCAACAAATGCACATCTTGTGCTCCAAGCAAATCTGCGAAGTGTATTCAACACACATGCATACACATGTAGCAAATTAGGCCCCTGCTTCCGTGTCTTGCTCAGGCTCAGAGGCTCAGACCCTCCAAAACGAACCCTGAACAGGCTGTCCCTGCACCTCGGCAAGGAAGACCCGGTAGCCCAGCACCAGGCAGGCATCGGCCGGCTCGTCCCACGTGGTGATTCGGGGCGCAGGGCACTCACACGCTTACTGCCTGGCAGCCTCGGAGCCCCAACCGCCTGCCGAGGACAACCCCGAACCTAACCCAAGCACGCTCACTACCTGGCAGCCTCAGAGCCCCAACCGCCTACCAACGACAACCCTGAAGCCTCACCCAAGCACCCAGCGCGGTAGCTCTGCTCAATGGACCAATGGACACTCGAAAGACTCTTGGAGCTTCATCCTCACATCGTTGCTATTTTGGCAGCCAGCTGACAGCCCAAACCCGCCTCAGACGCCAAGAAATACCGAACCCTTCTCAAGCCACGCGCTGTATGAGATGAAAGTGCGGATATGGACAAAAGTCGAAGTTGGAGTTGGGCACAGCTGTCTTTGCTCTAGGCAATCCTCAAATGGACTCATTCCGTGGAGGCGAGGCTGCCGTCGAGAATGTGATCTTGCCCCAGGCCGCCACGGGACAGCTTCATGCCAGTATTGATTTTGCTTGTGCGCATGGGTTTACCGGTAACCTTTCACAGGACGGAGAAACCTTCAACATTGCCATCGCATCTGACAGTTGCACGGCTCCCAATTAACAGCTGGAGATGAATATCTCCCAGACTGAACTCGGATACTTGGCCCCGTCAAAGTGCGCCGCTTGACACATCGGGACACATGATATGGGGGCCCTACCTTGCATCATGCGTTGCAGGTGCGAAGTTCAGAGGTGTTCAAGGGTGGTGTTCTCTTTCGCGACCGAAACTGAACGGCACTCGCAAATCCAAAACGGCGCTCTGTCACCTGTCTCACCAGAATCCTACACCTGACCGGCCAAGAAAGATCCAGTTATAGTACTCGCCGACATGAAGTTCAGAGAAGGTCCTGAGTTAAATGCTTGATCGAACGACTCAAGCCACAATCTCCCAAATTGCAAGCAACCATTCCGTATGCACCCAGATGTCCCTAGTGACCCTAGTGACCAAAGACTACGTATGGACATTGCATGGGCGCTTCGGTCCTTGGTCTCGCATCATTGCGTTCAGTTGGTGCATCCTCTTCCTAAACTCCTGGCTGTCGGAATTCATGTCAGCCACGATGGCGCAAAACCGCCATGAAACGAGTGACTTTGCCTGCGCCCCGATCTGAGGACACTCCTACGAGACAAGTCAGCACAAGTCAATCCAGTTTTCACGCTTTTGCCTGCGCTCCCGCGAATACGAAACGATGGCTCAACATCAGTAAACTCGTCCTTTGGGGCAGGCGGCTGGTAGAGATTCCTGTCAACTACACATGCGATCATCAACTGAAAACACCAAAGCTGCGTTGGCCTGTCTGCCGACGGCTCTGCGCTAGCACAATAAAGGCTTTGCATTACATGGCTCGGTTGTTGAACGCACATCGCACACGTGACACTTCTGGATCCGGTACATGTGCTTGGATAGAGCTTGTGTCTACCTCAATCTGATTCTTTGTCGCCTTGTTCATCGAAGAGCTGCCTGAGCTCGGTTGCAGCCCCATCTTTTCTGCCTTTCTAATCAAACGATCCCGCTCCTCCGCCCTGCCCTCCGCCTTCCAAGATTGAACCACCTGGTCCAGTGTACGATGATCACATTGAAGGAAGAAGTCTGGACATCCTGCTGAGCCATGCGGAAGGCCTGGTCTGGGCCATTCAAAACGATCACAAGCACGACTTGAAATCGTGTCCTCCAGTGGTTGAACAGGGCCAATCTTGCTTTGAGCTGCTGAAGCTTAGCCTTGAGTTGTCCAGCAGGTCGGGACACTTCGGCCACGATCAAGCGGGGCTCGGTATGAGACCCCCACGCCTGTGTGTGAGCATCAGTCCAGCCTCCTGGTCCAAGCATGAAGACTTCCCAATCATCTGCGCTTGGATACGGCACGACAGGCGCGGCAGATGCCTCTGTTGCAGGTACAACAAAGACTGCATCCAATGCCGTGTTCGAAACCCCAAAACGGGATGGAATCACCCCGAATGCTTCCAAGCAGGTGTCGGGAGCCTCAAACTCGAAACCGCGGATTTTTTGGAGGTTGAAGGCTTGGGCAAAAACTTTGCGGCACGCTTCTTCGTAGTCCTTCTCCAATTGCTGCTTTGCTTGTTTTTGCCCACGCAACGAGCTGTAACAAACGGGCGTGACATTGCCGCCGCCGTCTGCTCTGGCTCGGTGCTTCCGGTGGAGCTGAACACAAAGCCACTTGGATAGCGAATGCCAACCCAAACGCGACACAAAGCCACTTGCCAGACCCCATTATACCCCATTGCTGCAAGGCAGAGGGGCACTTGGGAAGCCTCACGAGGCGGGAAAACAGCTTGAGTCAGATGCAGGTGTGTGCCACGAACCCAACTTCAGTTTTCGCCGAGAGGTCCCCACAGCTTCTGCTAGGTGTTGTAGAAGCTCTAGGTGGTTGAAAGCGCAGGCCTACCAGTGAACAACTAACTCCAAACATGAGTCCTCGTCACCGCCGGATCTTGGTTGTACATGTTGTGGAGGACGTAACTCCACGAATCCTGACCTACCTACGGTGGGGGGTGGGGGGGTAGCATTGCTGACTGGAAGATAGCCACCTTGCTTAACCCTAAACGCTGAAACAAATTCTATAAGAACCCCCTTGCCAGTTTGGCTAATAATACCACCTTAGAGAAAATAGATGGGGTAATTGGTTATTCCTATACTTGTAGTGATAATGGGGAAGTAGTAGTGATGTATTGGGTGGAGTGTAGGGGGGACCCTAGGAATAATCATCTAATGGGTTGACGGTGGCATTATTACCCAAACTGGGCAAGGTATACTCTAACTCAATATTCCCGCATCAGTTCTGGGAAACAAATTAACCTAGACCCCTAAACCCGAAGCTACGCCGAGGGGCCTCAAAGATGTGGAGTTGGGGGTGTCGACATGTGCCAGCGGGCCCGTCAGAGATATCGTGAGGCCCACGCGAAGTTCGTATGGAAGGCGGCAGTACCTTTCGGATCGGCAGGAGGCCTAGCCTTAATTCGCGGCAGGGGCATCACGGTTAGGAACTTTATGGAGTGGTGCGCTTTAGGGTTTAGTGTTTAGGCTTCATGGAACATAATCAAGTCAACCAATGTTATCAAGTTCCACGAGCTGTAGCAAATGGAAAAGGAGTATTAGGCTTCGGCTTTGTGGAGAATCTGTCCACATGGAGGATCAGAAGTACATATCCTGTTTGATATTATTGGCATGAGGGTTCTCATTTGTTCCGCTGATCTGCGCTTGTAAACCTACTGCTACTGAGAATACCGTGTAGTCACTTCCCCATTTATTCAACAGCCCCTTGTTATAAAAACACTTTGCCTAAATCATCCCTGCCCTCTAAAACCTAACTCGCATCAGGGTGGGTCCAAAGCACGATGAGCAGGAGTACGAGTAGGAGCAACAGCAAGAGCAAAAGTAAGAGCAGTAAGAGCAAGAGCAAAAGCAAGAGCAAAACCAGGAGGCGGAGCAAGAGCAGGAGCAACGGCAAGAGCGGGAGCAAGAGCAAAACCAAGAGAAAAAGCAGCAAGCAAGAGCAAGAGCAGGAGCAACGGCAAGAGCAGAAGTAAGATCCCAAGAGCGACAGCAGAGATTCAAAATTCAACCTCCCCAAAAAACAAAAGCACTTTCCGAGTTTTTGCTGAGGGGGCCTGCTTCATGTGAGGGGGAAATGACTAGCACCACTTGCATCACTGCCACCATTACGTTCGTCGTTAACAGATGGGGCACTGTGGCAACGTGGAGGTGGAGCTGCTGGTGTAGTTTGTCACAAAGCAAGTAGGAGCGGACGGGCCAAGAACGCTGTCCACGGGGCCACATGCCTTTCGGGTTTACGGCTTAGGCCCTAAACCCCAAGAACCCCTTAGGGTTTAGGGTCTAGGGTTTACGATTTTGGTATTAGCGGTTTGTTAGAGGGCTTTCGCGGTTGAGGCTATGTGGTGCAAAGTGTACATTGCTCGACGCTGACAGTTCGAATATTGCAGGCTGAAGACTGCTTAAAGGGTAAGGGAGGTATGGCGATGAAGGAGACATGAACACGGCATAACCATCGCAACTGGGCTTCAGCAACCTGAGAAAACTAACTTGCTGGCTCCGGTGATCCTGGGAATGAAGATCCCCGCAGTAGGGTGTAGGGTTTCATCCGTTCTGAGCGCTTCGTGAACTGTCCGATCGGGTTGTGTGACGATCGTCTTCTCATCTGTTTGAACATGGCCTGTGTTTTTCTGGCGAGAGAGTCTCTACACTTTATGAAACATAGCTTGCTCACATGCCCTGGCCGCAAACCCAACTGCGACTTTCCGTGTCTTCCCAGACCCTTTGCCTCCGAATCCCCATCTGTTGGAAGAGATCCAAACAAGACACCTAAACCCCAAACCCTAAACCCTAAACCCTAGTCCTCGTTACTATACTCAGGAAGTAATTCAGGTTGTTTCCAGCGAAGTGTGACACCACAAGTTCATGGAGAAAGCCAAACAAGATGAATGCTCGCCGTCGAGCTTGCTCTGTTAGGCTCAAACAGTTTTGGTAAGGTTTAGGGTTTAGGGTTTAGGGCTTAGGGCTTAGGGTTTAGGGTTTAGAGCCATAGGACAAGCATACGAAACGGACACAATGAAAACGAGGGCATGCGATGCTTCCCCATACCTACAAAGGAAATGGGATATCTGCTCCACCTACTCTACCTTGTGTAACCACTTATGCCGTGGGAGATCTGCAAACATGGCGCTTAATTCAGCACTGTGCCTTCTGATTCGACCTGAAGATGGTAAAGAAAGAATACTAGGTCCTGAGTAGACCCATTATAATAAGGGTGCCCTTTTTGATACTATTCGGTTCTTATTAAGGGACCCTAAAATAAAAGGGCAAAAGGGTACTACTCAGGAACCTAGAATAACATCATGAACCATTACAGGAATGCGGCACTGCTGACTGCCGTCTACCACCATGACCGTTCTGCTCTGACCGTGCTGAAGTCAGTGGTTGGTGGCTGTCTGTACATGCTAGTAACAGTTGCCCACATGGTCTGAGAAACATATGGGGGTTGTTCTAAATTATGGTCCCTTTTTGGGTACCCTATATAATAAGGACTATACTACTACTATAGGGCCCAAAAAGGGACCATAACTAAGCAAGCACAGTCACAAGCGAATCGTGGACTGCAAGCATCCCTTTGGAAAACCCACCGTCTGCAGCCCTCCAACCCAGTTTCAAAGTTTAGGGTTTAGGGTTGACGATCGCTGGGACCGTCAGGTTGTGGCCTCAAACCCAAACCTGTATCACTGGCCGTAGGCGATCGGAACTCAACGCTGAATGCCATGGCTGGATGCGAAGCGCTTTCAATCTCTTTTTCAAGCAAGAGCAATGATGTGATGCTACTTTGCTGTGATGCTGTATGACGTGACCCCTGCTGTGCCTCGACCCCTGTTTGGGCCTCCACACGGCATCCTCGGATCGACACCTGCAGCGATTCCACACTCCTCCTTGGTTACTTCTCTTCGAGACGTAACCACTTCCACCAATTTCAAACGAGGTGGGTGCCGTGGGACGTTCTTAGTCCTAGTGCTAGCAGCCGGCTCCACAAGCTGCCACCATGCAAAACTTCGTTTCTGAACAGCTTCACTTAAGCATCACGCCAGTGGCCAATCCACTGTGAGGCTTGCTGTCGAGTGGCAACATTTGTCCAGAGTAGGTGAGTGCGACCCTGGACGTTTCGATTCCTCCAAATCCAGAGGATGTACTTCAGTTGCCTCACAGTAGGCAAGTCTCGCTGCAAATCTGGCACCTCCTGAAGCCGTTCGGCCAGCCTCTCAGTGAGATTCTGTTTCAAGCCTGAGGTTTGCAAGCCTTCGGCCCTCAGAGCTTCTCGAAGATCCTCACATCTCATCAGTGCTAGAACATCGCAGCTCACTCGCCAACGCTCACCATGATTCGAAGCATTGTCAGACCAAGTATCCGTTGACTGGACACTCAATCCTCCTGGAGATACCAACATAGCAGCTGAGGCTCGACGTGGTAGATCAGGTGTTCGGGGTCTCTGGGCTGAAGCTGTAGGGGCCACGACTCCGGTGGCAACTTCAGCTGCTCGTGTTCCATCATGAGTCGTCGATCCACGAGATTGCCTCTCCTCTGTAGATGAGCTCGACTCCATCTCAGTGGCCAGACCTCGTGTTTCTTGTGCCAAATACGCCCTGTCAACCTCCTCCTTTAAGCGCTCCAGTCGACGGAGTCGTCGTTCCGCTCGCGCGGTTCTCAAGCAGCTTCTGATGATCCATTTCATGAACTCCCAGCCAGCAATCGCAGTTACACATAGCATTGCACAAAGTACAGAGAGTTCCATAACCCCTACGGAAGGTAAAGGGTCCTTGAACCTCAAATCTTCATCCAATTCAGCACCAGTCGCCCCCGGAACCGAAGCTATCATGGTGGTAATGCAAGCCACAATCATCATCTTCAGTACGCAAGCTTGTATGGCACTGGAAGGAAGGTCGACGAAGCCCCAAATCTGAAGCAACTCCCACAATCGGCATTTTTGTTCCCAAGTCAGCCCATTGCCATTGTCCTTGAACATGCTCCACCACCAACTCGGAACGCTCCACCCTTTCCCTTATGTAAGAGGATCGCACCCGAAGGTGCCGGGTCCTCCAGGAACCCGGTCCACCTTGGAGCATGGCTGTTGCAGCCGAATTGTCACAGCGAAGCACCCGGGGTACGCAACCAGAGACTAACTCATCAAGAAGTGCCCCCACACATTCCAATAGCAGCGCTGTTTCTGTAGCTTCTAGCAACTCTGACTCCATCACGGAAAGAGTCACAAATGCCTGCTTTGAAGCCCTCCAGGCAATCGCGGAGTTGTTCACGGTGACGACCGCCGAGCCAAAGGACCTTCCGCTCGAAGGCGAGAAGCTAGCATCGCTGTAACCAATCAAGGTGACCAAATCTGGACCTAAAACCGGCTGGTTGGCTTCTGCTGCTGCTGTGTTGCTGTTGGTTGTCCTGCCCAACACCAACTTCATGTCTCGCGTCTTCGAGAGGTATCCCAAAACCTTCATCGCGATCCTGGACACACGAACCGGCTGCCTCGCAACCCATTGAGACATATGCCCAACAACAAATTGAAGATCTGGTCGCGTCCTCAAACACAGCCATAACAATTCTCCAACACAGCGTTGTCCAAATCTCAACTCTTCCTGCGAGAAGTTCTCGGGCTCCTCGGAAAGGTGATCGACGATCCACTCTCGGGGACATGGCAACGCGGTTGGGGTAACATCCTGCATCTCATGCGATCTCAAGAGGTCCAGAATATATCCCAGCTGGGAGATCACAAACTCACCCGAGCTGCCTTGACGTATCTCACATCCCAGATATCTGGCGCCACCTTCCTCATGAGCCCATTCCAGCGGTGAGCACGGCCAATCGCTCTCAACCCAAGCATGGATTGCCCTGATTGCTTCCTGCCGTCCAAGATAGAACAAGTCGTCCACATACAGGATGATCATTGCAATCAGGATTCTCTCGATTCCGGTACTACTCCAATAAGCCATCCAGAGCTCTGGGTCGGCCTTCGAAGGTCTCAAGGAAATGCTTCCATCACGAAAAGGAATCTTCGCACCTGCCAAGCGCTTCGTGCCGCCCAGATCGAAGGCGACTCCCTGAGCCCATACAAAGGCCTGCACACCAACCATACTTATACTTCCGATGGATCAGCGAAACCTGCTTCCACCAAGAACTTCGGGGGAACAACAGCATATCGGCTTAGGTTTGCAGGCCACTCCGCAAGGAGAAACGCCGCGGTTATGTCTGTCGAAGCCCCAAACCACCTCAAAGCAGCTGCCAGCGTTAGGGCCGTCCTGAAGGATTCCACACTCGCACCCCCTGCACACAGCGATCCATAGCTGGGCTCTGCCTCTGCGAAATTTCCGCACAGCACTAGGCGAAACTTCCGCCGGAAACCATCTCCCTTTGTTGTCGGCGGCTTCAGAGTTGCCACTCCCTTTACCAGTCGTAGAAGCCCTTCTCGCTCAAGTCGTTTGGCCTCGGACATAGACATCCTCCGCAAGGTGCCTCCGTCAAAGAGCGTTCCCAGTTCCTTGGCGAACGAGCCCTTCCACTTTTCCAGGCTCTGTCTCACCTGGTTCATCGGCACATTGTGAACCACCTTCAGGTCCTCTCCGTTCAACGCCTCCAGCAGGCTCTCGTACAGCGGTTCCTCGCCAACTGCTGCAGCCTTTAAGCATGCCCCAAGCTGCTGATCATCTCCCTTCCGGGACAACTCGGCAATCTTTTCAACCAAGCCGGCAACAACTTGATCGACTCGTTCTGCTCCCGCCCTTACTTCATCTCCAGCGCGAGCGATGTCCTCCACCAACGAGGCCTCCTCTTCAAGCAGAAAACACAATCGTTCACCCCTCTCTTGGAGATCTTCAAGCAGCTGCGCTTGATCATCAGCTATCCCTTCCAGCTGTTCTTGCAGAGCTTCTGGATCTGCCCCACACACAAACGCGCTTGTTTCCTGCTCAAACGACGGCCTCAAAAGGTGGAAGGCGACTTCCTCCTCCTCATCGTCATCTGCGAAGTGCTTGACAACTCTCTGACCGCTTACCTGAGGACCTTGCTCCGGAGTAGAAGGAAGAGACGTTGAAGATTCCGGCAACACAAAACCCAAGGTCGTCAATGTTCTCCTGTCCTCTTCAAGCAGATTCTGTAGGCGTGGGCAGTAAGTGACTAGGACCAATCTTTCCCCTTTGTGAGGTTGAGCTTCATGCCATTTCTCTGGAGCAAAGGAGACCGTCTCACCCTGCTTTAGTTCCTGCAGATGGCCCTTGAC